GCATTTAGGTGTTTTGCATTTTCACAGGCAGCAGTTAGACTGTGAGGGGAACTTCAAGTGGTGCTTTGAGAGAGGAGCAGGTTGGGAAGCCCCTCATATCTGTGTGAGTAGGGAGATGGGACATTTCTCCCATGGCCACCATGTGAGTCCCCACAGACCCTGCTGAGGCCCACCAGAGAGTCCGAGGCAGGTCTGCAGTCACCAGTCTGCTTTTTCTCCTTGGAAGCAGATTTGCCCACAGAGGGAGCAAACTCACCATCCCATTGGCTGGGCCTTTCTACCTGTGCCAACCCTTCTGGACATAGAGAAGGTGACCCCAGGCCCACTGTGGTTAGAAGAGCACCTAAAGCCTTCCAAAGAAGAGCTGGAAGGGCTCACTGGGGCCTCTAGAGGAATTCAAGTAATTGTAGAGGAAGGCAATTTCAACCAAATCTTATGGCTTTGTCCCTCCCACAGAGGGGCAGTGGCCTTCACATCCAGGGTGCACTTGTGACAGATTTTCTTTAYAGTATCTTAAATGTATTTCCTGTGTTATGTGGCGAGGCAGTGCTCATGTTAGGAGGTGATTAAAACTTCTGTCTCTCAAGTGTTCTGCACATGGAAGTGGAACCTAGCCCTGCTTGGGGGATGAAGTGGGGTTAGCAATACTTTCTTAAGATGGTCCAGAAACCTTCAGAGCAAGGACTCAGAATAAAGAGAGTTGAAATGTGACTGTTCAGACCTGTTACAATATCAGGTTATATCTGATACATTTTATTTGACCCACAATTCTTTCATGTAGGATATCCAATCTGGCAAAAACCTAAAATACCTAAGAGCATTGTTTCCCTGAGGGATTATGGTTTCCCTTAAAACCAGATGGCCTCGGGGCTGCTGGTTCTGTCTGCCATGGACATTTATTCCTTCCCAGGTCTCTGTCTGTGCAGATAAGATTGGAAGCCGTTTGCGTCGAATGCAGCCAATCCCAGCCTCATTAATGCTATTTCTTTGCTGTCCTCATGGAACGGTGGAGGCCTTGGAGGAGCATTTCCATGTGTCTTACTTCTCAGAATAGATGGTGACTGTGAGATCAACACAATTCTAAGCATCCCTGCTCAGCTCTGGGGGCCACGGGGCAGCAATTGACTAGAAGCCAGGGCATTGGGCAGAACCCCACAGTTGGAGAAAGACCCAGGTTCCAAATTCAGGTACTTCCAGGCATTGAAGTCAAGGTACTAGGTGGCCAGGGTCTCCAGCACCCTATTAAAAGCTAAGGCAGTGGTTCTTGTCTCTGGCTGTACATTGAAATCTCTTGGTGAACTTAAAAAAAAAATCACTGCTAGTCTTATACCCCATTTGGCCTGGCATCAGAGGTCTTCAGGGCTATCCAGGCAATTCCTATATGCAGCCAGGGATGAAAACCACCAAGCAAGGGGTACTGCAGGCAACCTATTAGTTTTTCAAGTCATTGTGATATTGGAAAATATGGAACATTGGGAAACTATGGAGGAGAAATTCTGATCCAATTTCAGAAGAACAAATTATTAGTTTGTGAAAGTATTCCTATAACATGGTGGGGGTAATGGACTGCAGGGAAGGAGGATTTATTGGGAGAAGAGAGGATATCAAGGAGAGATGAGGGCTGGTGAGAACTTTGGGCAAGATTGTTGGAGGGGGACACAGTGACACTTTAAAAGTTTTAAAATTGTTTTTTAATGTTTCCATTAGCACTCTAGTCATACGTAATAGTGGGGTTCATCTTGACTTATTCATGAATGCATGTAACAATTTGCTCCATTTTAATCCATATTACATCTCCTTTCCCCTTCACCTCCTTCCCTCTATTTTCTACTTTTATGTGTAATTATTATGCATAAATTTAAAAAATAGAAGGAAGACTAGCAGATTAGAGGAAGGGGGTTGGGGAAAATTTTTTTGACCCATACTAAGTGTGCATATTTATGGGACAAACTTTTCTACAGAACTTTTATCACTGGTAATGTGTGGATGAGGTGAGGGTTAGAGATACTGGAGGGAGTCTAGCAACAGCAAGCCACACCTAGGAAGGTCAGTCTTTTCACCACTGGGACCAAGACTTGATCAGAACAATTGTAGAGGAAGAAGTTTATTTGAGGGTTCATGGTTTTAGAGGTCTTAGTCCATAGAAGGCTGGCTCCATTCCACGGAGCTCAAGTGAGGCTGAACATCATGTCAGGATAGTGTGGTGGAGGGAAGCAGCTCACAACATGATCAGAAAGCCGAGAGACTCCATTTGCCAGATACAAATACATACCCTAAAGCCATAGCCCGGTGTCCACCTCCTCCAGCCACACCCTACCACTTCAGTTAACCACTCAGTTAATCCCTATCAGGGGATTGATTCACTGATTAGGTTAAGACTCTCTCAACCCAATGATTTCTCCTCTAAACCTTCTTGCATTGTCTCTCACTTGAGCCTTTGGGGGAACACCTCACATCCAAACCACAACAAAAGGGGATAGTGTGGGCCTTTCCATGTGCTAGCCCCCAGGGTAAGAGATTTGTGCAGCTCCTTTTTCTTAGGCGCTAGTCCTGGCCACAACCTGGCTCAAGGTTTAGGGCCCAACAGAATAAAGGGCTATGAGATAGAGTGCAGATCATTGTTCAGTTCATCTGTTTCTTACCTGTATTGCCATTTTCTTGCCTGAATGAATGGAAATCTGTGAGACTGTCCAGAAGACATTCTAGAGAAAAACCTCCCCAAGGAGCTAGATTTTGCTTCTGAATATGTATATGTAGGATTTCTCACCAAGGAGAGATCTCCCTGTCCCCAAAACAGCTAGCTCACTGCTAGCTGATGTTTGCACTGGAGCTTGTGAATGCAAACACTAGACTGATTGATAAAATTGGCTTTGAAAGTTCAGGACTCAGGAGGGTGGCTGCCTTGGACCTTCCATAGCCAGGGTATTTCCAGAAGAGTCCAGCCTGTTGTTGGAGTTGAGTACATCCTCCAGAGACATGGGGCTCATTCTGTGTGGGGCTCCATCCCATGCATAACCTCTCTATATCTGAACCATGGAAGTTCTGGCCAGTTGTTTTCTAGTGTCCACTCTAAGGCTTCTTAAGGCACAGCTGGGCGGGGGGCGGGGAGCCCTGTACATCCTGCCACAGCTCCTCAGCCTTCATTTCTTCAACTTCTCCAAAGTATCCCAGGGAACAAACTCAAGTTTTCACTTCAAAGGAGAGGGAAGGAAGCTGGGCTCTCCTGCAGGTTACACAGTGCCACTTTGAGACAGTTTTATTTGGGCCGTAAAATTTGTGAGTTGTTCTTGGCCAAAGTTCTAATGAAACAGAAACCTTGAAATCTGCTTAGAGCGGTAAGTTTGGTCTCACCCTGTATCTTGGGGACTAAAGATTGTAGGTGATCTTATGAGTTGATCTCATTTACTTCCTAAGGGGCTTGGTACTGGTGCATCTTTTTAGAATGGAGGGTGGTCTATCTCATTTGACTTGAGTGAGATCTATAGCATAGTTGAGCCTGGAGGAATTGTAATGCTGTGCAGAGAACAGTGCTTCTCCAAGTGTGTGGTTCCTGGTCCAGCCACGTTCGTGTCATCTGGGGACTTGTTAGAAATGCACATTGTTAAGTCCCACTTTGGACTTCTTTGTGATTTTGGTGCATGCTAGGGTTTGAGGATCACTGGTTTAGTATGTTATAGCTTTTGAAAAGTAATGGTGTAAGAGAAAAGAAAGGTGTCCATGGCCTCTTAATACCAATCTGCTCAATCTGAGCCAGCTAAGACAGTCTGGAGTTATGACCTAGGAGAGGGGACATTGCACATACTAGTGTACACTCTAGCTCCTTCCCCAGCCTAGTCAAGCGTTTGTGGAAAGTTTACTTACCTTGTTAATTCCACCTTGTTACTAAGTTCCCTTATGAACAAGATGGAAAGCTTGCAGCAGGTGTCTGGGGCAAGAATGACCAATACTGTCAGCATTGGTTCCCAGGGAGGGGAAAGTTCTATGCACTGAATTCCTCTCCCCCGCCCCAGAGTTAAAATTCACTTCATTTAAGCAACAAATTAAAAATCCTAGTTTTTTTCAAGATTCCATTTAATTTACAAATCTTATAATCTTAGCGTGATTTTGCAGTTATTTTTAAAGAGGATTTTGAAACATTTGACCCCATTTACAAATGTCACTTACAATTTTTAAACATTTTGAAAAAAGTCTTTTGAGAAACATTTTGATTTTTATTTTCAAGTTCATTGGATGTCTGGTTAAAAAAAGAAACTTTTCACAAGTATTTAGGCATTCTTATAAGCCTAATAACTTAGTCTTATAAACATGAGAAGGCCTAAGGTCTTCTACACATTCTAATACTATTTGTAACCTAAAAAGATTTTAAAATCACAAGTCTAAATCAATGATACGCTCTAAGTTAAAATTGCAAATCTAATCCATTAGGTATTCTGCCAAGTTCTCTTAACTATTACTCGTTCTGGAGGAATAATGCACAAGTCCCCATCACCAAGCACTTAATACTACAAATCAGACTGACCTTATTATCTTTGTATTTAATTCTAAGTTATCCCCAGGATTAAGCTACATTTTTCCCATTAGGGATATAATTTTCATTCTAAACAATTTGGGGGTTGCCTCCTCAGATGGACTCTTAGGTTAGTTTTAAAAATAATTTTTTAAGGGAAGTTCTTGAAAAATCAATGGAAAGTAACCTGTCTTCTCTCTGAAAGCACTCAGAAAAGGGTATTATTATACACATCTGAACCCCCACCCCTATTTCAAACCCCCCCCCCCCCCCCCCCCCCGGTCCTTAAAACTCAGCCACTCAGTGGGATGTGTGTATGTCAGACAGACACTCTTGGGCTCAGATAAATTCAAGCAATTTGCAAAGAAAAAAAAAGCCCAGGTGTGGAAAACCAAACCATAGCAAGGTGACTTTGTTCCCCTCAAGCCGCTGGGGCCATGGACATGTATGAGTGAGACAACCAATGTCCTGTTTTCCTTTCCTTTCCTGGCAGGTCGGCCTCATTCAGCTTGGACAGGAGCAGGTGCTAATCCAGCCTCTCAGCAATTCCAGTGGTCCCTTCAGTGGACGAGAGCATGTGATCAGACGCAAATGGACCTTGACACCCAGCCCAACTGCCGAGGAGGCCCAGGTACCTGGGCAGTTCTGCAAGGTTCTAACAGGTGAGTTAGGGCGACATGTCTGGACAGAGCACATGCACAGATGACTCCCACAGTGTGGCACCGTCTGGACAGAGCACATGCACAGATGACTCCCACAGTGTGGCACCAGATGTACTGACATCATATGAGCAAGAACTTCACCTATACAGTCGTGTGCCACTTAATGGCAGGGAGATGTTCTGAGCCATCATTAGGCAGTTTCTTCATGGGAACATCACGGAATGTACTTGCACAGGAGGCTAAGATGGCTATTATGTCACTACACAATATGGAACCAGAGTGGTATGTTCAGTCTGTGTTTGACTGAACTGTCATTAGGCATGTTGAAAACTATTTAATGGCCCTGGAAGCCACTTCCTTTTCCTTGTGTATTAGAGTCAGTATTTCATGCAGTGCAGTCCTTTGAAAAGGTCATTATTTTATTTCTGCAAGGAATCCATGATCTTGTCCAGGCATTGCCTCAGTTTTATGTGTCAGGACCAAGTTGAGGTCTGAAAAATCTCTACAAGTTTGTTATCAAGCCACAGGTTAGTATCAGAGATAGAATTCCAATTCTAGCTTGATTTCCCTCCCCCTGATGCCCTGGCCAGAGCTCACTTACTCTTCTAGTGAAGTGGTCCTCATCCCTTGTTCACTAATTAGAGTTGCCTGGGGAACAGTGGTTCTCAAATTGTGGCCCCTGTTCCAGCAGTATCAGTAATACCTGGGAAGTTGCCAGGAAGGTACATTCTCTGGCCTGAAGCCAGACCTGCAGCATCAGGAACCCTGGAGGTGGACCAGTCTTCTGTGCCTTCCCAGGGATTTGGATGCATGCTAAGGTATGAGAACCAGTGCTTTAAAAATGCCATTCATTGCCTAATATCCCCATCTAATTGGCCTGAGGTATGACTCGGGTATCAAGTGTTTTTAAAAGTGATGGTGATATGCAACTTGAAGTAGAACCCAGAGCTCCTGTATTCTGCACCTCTATTTTGAGCATCCTTTGAGTTTTCTGTCAGGTGTTTAAGAACATCTCATGGTGCTGTGTCCACAGCAGTAGGCCTGCAAATGTCCCTTGATGAAGCTGGATTACCCACAGTTCATGGGTGACTTTTTCTCCCAGGAGATCATGGGGCCCCATAGCAGACCTTTGGGAGTTGTGCTTTTGTAGTTTAATGTTATCTTTGTATGAAAATGAGGGGTGTCTCAATTGAGTATTTGTGTGACCATGGAAATAAATCAATGATGTGACTTTCCTCAAGAGTAACTTTGGAATTTGTAAGCAAGTCTTGTGGCCCAGCTCAGTCCCTGCCTGTAGAACATTATGAAGTCTGGTTACCACCCTCCATGGCCTAGTCTGTATGTGGCAGGCAGATATTAGAGATGACTGTGCTGGATAAAGTCTACTCGGAAACCACCGGAGAGCTTTGAGTCATACATGGAGAGAGAACACCGCTAGACCTTAATATTTTTCTCTCTTCCTTTCTGCACCCTATAAAAGTGGGGAAAATGGACCTCAGCAAAAAATTATCAATTACTAAAAAACACCCTTTAACATGAAGCAGGATTTTTCTTAAGTCTTATGGTCATGCACTTGATATCAGTGTGCTATTTTACGGACCCTGTTAGGTCAGTTTTGTGGATCTTTTTTTGTTTTTCTAAGTCTTTGTGTACTTTTTGCAGCTGAGCTGAACACACTGGTTGAATGGCAGAGGGATTTCACTGAGGCATCAATTCTCAGTCTTGTCTGCACATTGGCATTGCCAGGGGAGTGACAAACCCCAGTGCCCAGGTCCCCTCCCATTGCCCTTTTAATTGGTGTGGGGCACAGCCTGGGCATCTGGCCAAGTAAAAGCTCCCAGGTGGTTCTGCTGTATCTCGGCTGGTGTTGAAAACCCCATGCTAAGGAATATTAAACATGAGTAATAGCACCTGTGGGCCATTGGAAGTAGATTTTCTCAGGTGAGACTCTTTAAGTAGGGCCACGCAATAAAACTCAGGGCAAATGTATTTTATTCTCCCTCTTCACTCAAACCAGTGCTCATCAACTGCCAGTCTCTGATCAGAAATGCAGCATGCTTGGGGATGAGATAATGGAATGTTTGTCTAATGACCTGCTTCTGTCCTTTTTAGGGGAGAGATACCAAGAGTTGCTGACAAAATGACAAATGGTGCTTGTGTTTGCATTTTTGTACCTAAGACTGGCTTCGGGGCACATTTTTTGATGGACTGTTTATCCTTTAATGGAGGAAATAAAGTGAACACAAGCTGAATGGGGTGGATGTGATAGAAACTAAGACAAGAGCAGCCATGTAAGGGTGAAGAGAGAAATTTCTGAATTTGCCTCAAAAAAAAAAAAATCAACCTTCTTCTTCCCCCAAATCTTGCATCAACTTGTCCTGAAGAGCTGGAGCACTGTGTATAATTAAGATGGAGCAAGACTCAGGCTCCGTACCGGGTAGGAACGTAGATACCAAAAAGAGGTCTCCATTTTGCTCCTGCTGCTTTTTGCTTTGCATGGAATAGTAAACTTGGTTGCTGTGTCGAGAAAGACACTGGGTCTCTTAATAGGCTTAGCTAATAAGTAGTCAATTATGCCCTATCGAGTTTGGATTAGCTTTCAAAGGTTGGGAGTTTAGAGATCAGGAAACTTAATTTACAGCAAAGTACATTCTTGAAGTTTCCTAGAAAGATTAATCGGATTAATCCAGGATTTCTCATGGGAACATGTTCTGTCTGGCTGAATATGGTGGCTGTTGGTTTCATTTTGTCCTGTCATTGATTTTTACGTTGCCCTAACCTTGGACAGAGCCTCCGAGTAGCCTTGCTGGCTCATGCGGGTGGGGAGTTGAGAACTCTTCTTCTTCTTCTTCTTCTTCCATAAAGCACTAATCTACCTTAAAGTTGAACCTGTGTAAGACGCCATGTTGTCCAGCGTCTTATGTCTGAGCAGGGCTGGGGGCTAGAAGGGCTAAAACATGAGGACCTGGCAGGACCCTTCCTCCCCTTGTAGGCCACTGAGGTTGCATTTCCAGAAGATTTTGAGGGCTCCTTATGAGGGGACAGGCTGACCCTGTTTCCTTTTAGCTCCTTATTTTTAGGACCTTATAAACTGATTCATAAAATAAAACTCCAGATTAGAACTTGRTAAGAGAATATGGAGTCTGCAAACTACCCCCCACTTTTTTCCTTTTGGTGAGAGCTTGAGTTTTTGAAAGTTTTTTGGCAATTCTCAACAACTGAAATGGTACTTTGAATATTGTGAAATGTTCCTTGATTTTCAAGTGGTTATTCTGACTCTAAAACTTTTCATCTTTCTTCTATGCTTAAATTTCCCCCTTTCAGATGCAACTTAGACTCTTCCTGCCGCTGTTTTTCATGGATTTAGATGCCAATTTGAATGTCTGTCATCTTTACCATGGTGGGTGTCACACGTGAATGACAGAGGTGCAGGGTAAAATAGAAGACTAATTTGCCATGAGACATTTTCAGAAATCAGAATCCTGCAGCACTTTGAGTGGTGGTGAGCTCATTAGCACATGAATATGCCTGAAAGAGGGGGGCCTGTGAGGCACTAATGTCTTCTTTATGGTTGAAGTGCTACTATGATTGTTTTTAAAGATTATTAGTTATTTTCTAGTTTTTTTCTGTTTCATTTAAAGAATTATGAAGATCATTTCAATGAGTCTTTGGAGGATACCATGGCACTTCAGAAATTGTGTATTGCTAATTGATGTAAGAAGTTGCATGTGTAATCACGCGTGTATACATTTAATACACAATTGGTCAGGACTTGTGCTTTGTTTCAATTAAGTTTCTTTTGATTGGAAAGGACAGAAGTCAAACCTAAACACCAGAGACATCATTGACATGGGTTTATGGAACTGATTAGTGAAGCAGGAGGCTGGACTTCAGGTGAGGCTTGACCAAGTTCGGCCTCTCTACAGGCCTTTCTCTGCATGACAGCTTTGTCCTTAATTCACCCCTCTTGAGGTGACAAAAAGGCAGCTAGGATGAGGAGGTTAGCTCTTCCGTTCTATTGGGATTGGAGATGGGCTGGCTTGGATTACTTTTAGTTCACCACTGCATTCAAATGTCTTGAGGCAGGATCAAATCTCTCCTTCCTAAAGACCATCAGTCCCAGTCCCCTATGACTGTGGAGTATTACTGAGTCTTCCATCCCTGTCCTGACTTCTGCAGGCCACCACACACTTGGCAAAAGTCTGGAGTCGGGTTACCACACCTACTCCAATCCAGCTCTAATCCATCATTCCAGCCCGTGTGGTTGAAAATATGGCCGCTTCCTTCCTGTTTCCACAATAAGGAACGAATACTGGTTAGCTCCTCATCTACTTGCGCATACAGGTGACTGTGGCTGCTGGTTTTTGTTCACTTAGGAAGGGCTCAATTCCTCTGCAGTTAGGGTCCTTTCAATATCTTAGAGACCTTAGCTCTCCAGTGGGTGTTAAAAAAAAAAGACAAAATTTATGTGTGAAAATGTTACATATAGAAAAAATATATTTAAATATATAATGTATATATATATATAAATTTTTTTTCTGGCTTTGTCTAGTGTTCTTTGTCGATAGTAATGGTCATTTGTGTCCTTCTACATCTCCACTGCAAGCAGAAGCTAAAAGAAATAGGATTAAATTGCTACATTTTCTCCAAGTCAATATTTACATATTTATTTCCATAGATTTTGCACAATATTTTTATATTCTAAAAGTAGAGAACAGTATTTGAAGAATTTTTATTCCACAAGTAAGAGAAAGTGGACTCATGTAGAAAGCTTGATTTCATCTCCTTTCAGTGTGCCCCAGAAGAGTCCCTTAACATCTCTGTGCCACTCTATCAGTCTGCTAGGATTTCTATGACAAAATGCCACAAGGCTGGTTGTGTTAAACAACAGAAATGTATTTCTTCACAGTTCTGGAGGCTGGAAGTCTGGGTCAAGCTGTCAGCAGGTTTGGTTCCTTCAGAGGTGATGTGAGAGACTCTGTTCAATGTCTGGCTTGTAG